TACAAGTTTTTGATATGGAATCTTAATATGAAATTAATCATTTTTGTTGTTAAAAACTAAAATAAATACTATTGCTTCAGTTCCATGGCGTTGCCCACTCCCAGGTTACTCATAGTTACTCCGCCGTTTACCCGCGAATGGTTTTAAATTATGATTTTAGCTGAAGTGCTTCCCATGGAATATCAAAAAGTTCAAAAAATGTTGCCATGTCTCCCTGGGATACACAGAGTCAGTCCCTAAAAAATTTTGCAAATTATAAATGACCTAAACAATTTTAAAAATCTTCAAAAATTGTAAAGCTTGCCACCTTTACTACCTCTATTTGCACTCACTTCCAATCTCTTTGCAACCTGATGAGATAAACCTTTGAAATTTCAAAATTTGGATTATTTGCTCCAGCGGAATTAATAGGTTAAAATGTCAAAGATATAAGACATAACGTTGCGAAGATAAAAGGATTAGAAAACTCGAAATCGAAGAGAGTAGCACATCACGCCAATAAACTAAAATTTTCTAAATATATACAATGCAAAGTATAGATTTGAGGCAAAGAAAACTTAGTTTTTTTGAAGATAAATACAAAGTTAAATGAATGTATTAATATGTAAATTTAGGTAATTACACGCTCATAAACTATAATTATATAATTATATATTTAATCAAGAAGAAACAACCTCATAAAAGTATCTGGTTTGTCAGTTTCTAAATTCCAACCATTATAAAGTTTTATAAAAAGAAAAGATAGAAAGAGCTAAGGGGTGCAGAATGAGAAATTAATATGCTGAGAAATGAATGAAGTAAAAATCAGAAAAGTTAAGGACTGCAGAAGTTCAGATTTAAATATAAAAAAGAATTAAGAAGATGAGAAATAAAAAAAGATAAGAAGCAAAGAAGATGAGAAATTGATTATGAGATGAGAAATTAAGAAGTTGAGAAATTAAGAAGATGAGAAATTAAGGAGATGAGAAATTAAGAAGATGAGAAATTAAGAAGATGAGAAATTAAGGAGATAAGAAATTATATAGATGAGAAATTAAGGGAAATTAATCTCTTTCCAATGTTTTAGTCAGTAACGTAGAACCAATGTTCTACATGATTTTAATTTGAAATTAAACGTTTCTACAACAAGCTTTTTCAAATTTAACACTTCCAAATTTTGGTGCCTGCTATAGCCACGTAGGCCGTGTAGATTATTAACTACATAAAGAAAAGAACATGCAGGAAGGAACCATCAATGTTCCTCGCCTGTATGTATTCCAAATATATTGTTTTACATAATTACGTCTGCTATTTAGCATCAAGACGAAATAGTTCAACTAGTGTAAGACTGGCGACAAACTTTCAATGTTCACCGTCAGTACAATCGTAGTCTGTTTCCCATATCACTTTGTTACATTTCCATTACATTGTTACATAAAAACTTTTTAATGCATGCCCATCAGATTTTTCTCATTAAATGCTCCAATATTATGCAGATGAATTTTTAAAAAAATAAATCCTAGTCAAAGACTAAATACAAGCAATTTATTCTCTACATTCCTCATTTTGTGTGTCTTGCAGGACAAATCTGAAATTCCAATTTAATGGAAAAAATGAAAATGATAAAATGTATCAGTATAATTTATCTAATTTAAATATATGTACACATTATTATCGTATTACAATTGTTTAATACATGTTGGTATTTTTGTACAATTAATCTTGTAAACCATAATAACCATGATACGTAAATAAATATCTAGATTTTAAAAAAGAAATTAAGGAGATGAGAAATTATAAAGATGAGAAGTTAAGGAGATGAGAAATTAAGAAGATGAGAAATTAAGGAGATGAGAAATGATAAAGATGAGAAATTAAGGAGATGAGAAATTATAAAGATGAGAAATTAAGGAGATTAGAAATTATAAAAATGAGAAATTAAGAAGATGAAAAATTAAGAAGATATAAGAAATTAAAGAGATGAGAAATTAAGAAGATAAGAAATTAAGGAGATGAGAAATTTGAAAAAATTAAAAGAAGTTTAATATTTTCGACTTTGTGTAAAATTTGAAAAAAAAACAAGTTAGACTCAAGTGAAGAGAGTTCCACATAAAGTTTAAAAATTTCTGTAAAAGTTGAATATAAATATCCTTGTAAAGGTCTTACTTCAGTTTTGTTTTATGCAGAACATTGTCTTTAAATAAATGTTTAACAATGCGGCAATAAACTTTCATGAATATCTTCTTTTAACCCACAATATAAGACTCAAATAAACATTTTTATAATTGTCTGGTTTTACACAGCACAATACTTTTCAAGAATGAAACTGCAACATTTATAAATTAGAAACTTAAAATAAAAGAAAATAGTTTCGACAAATCCTTGAGAGACTAGAGATCACTGCATGTAGAAAGACCGTTTGGTATGCAAACATTAACGACCCATGATACACCCAATAAACTTACATCGCGAGACGCCAAGTCAAGTAACACATGTGTCCCATGGAAAAGTAAAGTAGGTTAACATCCCGATTTGCGAAATTTTCTTTTCCATAAAATCTAACATAGCATGATTATTATTTATCACTGCTTTACTGAAATTAAGCATAACCTGAGCATGAATGATAAAGTGCACAATCGTTTCATAAAGTTTTATAAAGAGCTGATAAATGTTCTAATACGCACAGAGCTAGGAACTTTTAAATGGGATATCCTTAATCCCGATCGGTTAATTAATCTGGAGAAAAAGAACAAGAGGATAACAAGCATTATTTAATCTTGAGATTAAGAAAAAGAGTAGATCAAGCATTGATCTCCATATCCACAATTCTAAAGTGTTCAGCTCTGCATGGATGTTCTACGGTTATATTGGTCTTTGGAATCCTTAGTAAAATTAAAATTAAAGTATTTATCGATTATCATCCTTGTACTTCTTGTTCCACAATCCTCTGTGCTGAGGACTACTCAGAGATATATAATTTGATCGTTAATCTGTATTATATCTCTGGTGAATCCTTCTAGAACATAATAATTGTTTCGCTACTTAGCGATTTCCCTAAAGACCTAATATATATACCGTGTGGTATTTCTCAGGACCGGATCGTAAGACTCCCTTCTCTCAACGCTCTTCATAATAAAAAGGATGATAGTAAGGTTCCGAACGTTTATTTCTCTGAGCCTTCAATCTAAACAAGTTTAATAAACCCACAGAAAAAGCTTTGAGTGATAATCATACAACTACAACAAATAACTCACTCAGGCATTAAAAAACTGTGGCTAGGAACCAATAAACACATATACAAATATCAATCATACTATAATCAAATCGATAAGCATAAATATATATAAATAGTTACCACAGTGATCCCAGAATTCTGAACACGGCTAATACTTGCAAAACGAATAAACATATACTGATATAATTTTAACTACTACTCCGCGAGAAATCTTGCGTCTGCGCAGTCGGACTGTAAACAGTTCCTAAACTAGTTCTTTCACAATACATTCCGTACAGATCTTCAGGGAGAACTCAGAAATACCCAGGGGTGACAAGCAGACTTTCTACACGCAGCATGGCTCGCGTAACAATAATAATAATCAACTACATACAGGAACGCCCAACTCAGATATATGCTAATTGTGTACTGTTCTCTGTGGGAGGAATGTAAACAAACCCAGTGCCCCCACAGAAGTAGAAGGGAAAGGACTAAAGCTCTGATGTGATATTAAAGTCCAACAACAAACAAATTAATATATCAAGTTAGAGAGTCGAGAATACATATGATTTTTGGCTTTCTGGTCAATATGGAAAATGCAATAGCAATATATTCCACCCCGTGGGCCTTGTTCCCTCAAAAATGATGAGTTGCCCCTGAATTCTTTGTTTTGATCTCCTCCCACTGCAGTACACGGATTTGACGCAGGAGATATAGCGGTTCCAGGTCTATATATTTCTTGTTTATAATATTCATCAAAATTCAGCCGTGGGCATCCTCAATTAACAACTGTACTATTTAAACCTTTGCCTGATCATCGAGGACAGAGATCTCAACAGGTGTGAACAATGTAGGCTAGAATACTATTGAACTCAACAGGGCTGACTAGGCTATAATACTATTCAACTCAACAGAGCTGGCTAGGCTATAATCAGGGGGCGGGCATAACTCTCCTAATTTTGCCTGGCTAGGTTTATGCTGTACAGTGAAATTTGTCGAAAAATGTTTCCTTATAACTGAGTTGGTATCATAGAGTACAGTGGGTTTAATNACTCAACAGGGCTGACGTATTCCTTAAAAATCAAGAATATTCTACGTCAACAAGGTTTTAAGAATTTTGAATGTTAATATTTATATCTAACGATTTATAGAAAGTATAAATATTAATATTGGTTAGAATAAAAAAGCTTGTAAACAAAGTGTTTAACAACTACAAGTGTTTCTTAGATAATAAGTTCGTTATCCTTGATCAGCCATAGTTTTGAAGGATATCCTTGATCAGTCATAGTTTTAAAGGATATTCTTGATCAGTCATAGTTTTGAAGGATATCCTTGATCAGCCATAGTTTTGAATAATATCCTTGATCAGTCATAGTTTTAAAGGATATCCTTGATCAGTCATAGTTTTGAAGGGTATCCTTGATCAGTCATAGTTTTGAAGGGTATCCTTGATCAGTCATAGTTTTGAAGGATATCCTTGATCAGTCATAGTTTTGAAGGGTATCCTTGATCAGTCATAGTTTTGAAGGATATCCTTGATCAGTCATAGTTTTGAAGGATTTCCTTGATCAGTCATAGTTTTGAAGGATATCCTTGATCAGTCATAGTTTTGAAGGATTTCCTTGATCAGTCATAGTTTTGAAGGATATCGCTGTATCCTTGATCAGCCATAGTTTTGAAGGTTATCGCATGGATCCTTTCAATGACTATCTTTTTTAAAGCTGAGCAAATAAATACATTACAAGTTTACAAACAAATCTTGGAAAAAAAACTTCAAAAATTGAAACATTTATTCTTTAAAGAGAGTTTATACAAAAGTAACCTTACTTCCAGTATCATCCTAATTCAATCATATTTATACCAGGGTTAGAAATAATAAACTAGTTTTTTGCATTGTAATAGTAGGATCCAGTGCGTACTGCAGTGATCTGCAGCACTCTGTCTAAAGAAATAGTAGGTTTTAGCGAAGAGTGAGGTTAGCTACTCTGAATGCGTTGTCACTTCATCCTCCGTCAATAATCAATTATACGTCATATGAAGATTTTTAGTGTCCATTGCTATGAAGACGACATTTCTAGTACTTTGGGGAACATCTAGAGTATTAAACCTTGATTCCCAACTAGGGTTTCCAGCGAAAATTTCGCATTTTTCGCGAAAATATTTTTTTCGTGACCATTTCGCTGCAATTCAGATTTCGTTCGCTCACGAAAAATCACAGTTGAACGTATGTATTGTGGACGGATAGACAGAAGCTTAAAAAGATAGCTAGTGAAATCAAATTCTCTTCATCAAACATTTATTGAAGTAAAGTCATACTTATAAGACGTAATAAAACTTTAAATATTGAGCTATTAGAGCAGAAAATTCCACAAGTTCTTGTGACCAATTAATTGTTGCAGCTAAAAAAACTAATGGTTTTCACAAAATGTTCGCGAAAATTTTTTTTCGCTTAATATATTTTCGCGAAAAAGTTAGCGAAATGCGACCAAAAATTTTCGCATTTTTTCGCGAAACGTTTCGTTCGCTTGAAACCAACCAATCACAGCACTCGTTAAAAGGTTTTTCGGTATTACACTTTTGAGGTGTTGCAGACTTTAAGGGGCGGATTATTTTTAGCATCTATAAACACTTTGCTTGTCTGACTGCCTATAAGTCTGTTTGTTTGTGTCCAAAAAACTTCACACGGAATTTTCTATGGTTTCCAGTTCAATAAACAAAAAAGTTGTAAAGTTTTACTTCAAAAACGTCGGGGTTTAGTTTTATTTAACAAAAATTTATTTTGATTTAAAAATTTCCGTATTCTTTCTTTTTATATATAAAGAAACTGATTTTTGAGACTTAGTTGCAAACAAACAAAAAAGAGGACCCATAAGATTCATATTTCATATTTGTATTCAAATACGAAAGAAAAATCACAATTTACAATGCAGCTTTGGTTGGTCAATGGTCATATAATAGAAAGTAAATATTTAGATTTAAATTGAATTTGAAAGGGATGGAGGTTAAGGTCTAGAATCAGATAGTCTACAGCACGGAGAGGTGAGAGGAGAGAACTTCAAAATCAATTAAAATAAATACAGGATTGTTGTGGCTCGGATTGATCCCCTCCACCCAGAGGATATAAATTATGCAATACATAAATAAGGACGAGACTTGGGTTTGGAGGGTTTGCCCCCCCCCCCCCCCAGAATTCAAAACGGAGAATTTAGAATTTTTCACACCACAAACATATTCTCCACCGTCTGCCAGCCTTCAATGCAAATAAAATAAATAAAAAGTGCTAAGATAATCAAAATAATCATTAAAAGAAAAAAATGTTTAAATTTAAATTTCGAATCCTGGTAGAATATGCCTGGTATTGTGAGATTAGGTTAACAGCATTGAGTGCCTGCAGGGCCAGCTTGTTCAGAGATCTTCCCCTGTTCATGTACTGTGCATACCGGTCCCTGAATTTTTTATGTTCTGTACAATGTACATACCGGTTCCTAAATTATCTATCTACTGTACAATTTACATATCGGTCTCTAAATCATGTATATACTGTACAATACTAAATTATAGGATTGTGCTGTGCACACCGGTCTCTAAATTATTCTTGTACTGTACAATGTACATACCGGTTCCTAAGTTATTTATCTACTGTACAATTTACATACCGGTGCCTAAATTAGTTATGTACTGTACAATGTACATATTGGTGCCTAAATCATTGATGTACCGGACATTCCGGTCCATAATTTTTCATGTACTATAACATTCAGTTCATTCTCATTATTATGCTGTACACACATGTTCCTAAATCATTCATACACACTCATGTACTGTACACTCTGGTCTCTAAATTATTATTGTAAAGTACTACCTAACTTATTCATGTACTTATATACATATCCCTGATTAAGTTTACTAATTCTCCTGTTCCATTTCAATTTATATTTCTATGTAATGTAATGTTTATTTCTTAAAAGAAAGTAAATAAACATTTCCTTTTGTTACAATTGCTGTTGTCTCGGGGAAGTAAATTATGGGACTATTTTCTGCATTACTGAATGCCATACCAAGAGCTATAGAATCTCGAGTTTCAAATGATTATTTTCTATTTTCAACTAGGAAATGTTTAAGAAGTTTAAAAATAATATTTTAATCCACCCTCTCTCCCCCACCCCCAGGGAAGCACTCTGGCCTTATTTATTGCAAAGTTTGAAAATATAAAGTTTTATGAGATCAAAGAGCTTTTTCAGATTGTAAATATGAAAACCAGAGAGTGTGGTGCGTCCCCCCGCACTCCTCCTAACCTTACACTGGAGGGATTATAGATTAAATATTCTGAAGAAAGGTTTGACTTGGTTAAACAATACGGAACTAGCGGACCAAATAGATTTACGACATTTTTATTCTACTCCGGGTCCTTTACTTGGCAGACAGCTTCATTAACTTTTATTCTTTTAATCCTCTATTCTACTGGTCATTTACGTCTGAACGTATGCTAATCTAAATCATGTCCAGGAATGGTTATGAGCTATGTCTAAGGAATATATAACATGCATGAATAAGTGAAATTTAAAATTAGCTTTACTTGTGTAACTTTTACGTAGAAAAATTTTTACATCGTCAAACCCTTACCCAGAATGCTTCTTTAATAAAACTAAAATTACTTATTAACTTATATGCAGAACTATTATTACCTAGCATCTTATAGGTTTAACTATAATTACCTAGCATCTTTTGCGTAGAACTATGATTACCTAGAAGCTTCTACGTAGAACTATGATTTCCTAGCAGCCTCTACGTAGAACTAAGATTAACTAGCAGCTTTTACGTAGAACAATGATTACCTAGCAGCCTCTACGTAGAACTATGATTACCTCGCAGCTTCTACGTAGAACTATGATTACCTTGCAGCTTCTACGTAGAACAATGATTACCTAGCAGCTTTTACGTAGAACAATGATTACCTAGAATCTTCTACGTAGAACTATGATTTCCTAGCAGCCTCTACGTAGAACTAAGATTACCTAGCAGCTTTTACGTAGAACAATGATTACCTAGCAGTTTCTACGTAGAACTACGATTACCTAGCAGCTTCTACGTAGAACTATGATTACCTAGGAGCTTCTACGTAGAACTATGATTACCTAGCAGCCTCTACGTAGAACAATGATTACTTAGCAGTTTCTACGTAGAACTATAATTACTTAGCATCTTCTACATAGAACAATGATTACCTTGCATCTTCTACGTAGAACTATGATTACCTAGCAGTTTCTACGTAGAACTATAATTACCTAGCAGTTTCTACGTAGAACTATGATTACCTAGCAGTTTCTACGTAGAACTATAATTACCTAGCAGTTTCTACGTAGAACTATGATTACCTAACAGTTTCTATGTAGAACTATGATTACCTAGCAGCCTCTACGTAGAACTTGTAGAAGTTTGCTTCCTCAATATCTCTCTGCTCCTATAGAATTGTGATTAACATTAGTTTAAACTATCTTTTCTCTTTCTAAATATTTTTAGGAAAATCTTCAGTTTGGTTCCTTAGATGAGAAATATTCAGCCTCACTCAGATGAGAAAAATATTGGTATCAGGTGGGAAAATGGGAACTAAACTGAAAAATATTGGTATCAGGTGGGAAAAATGGGAACTAAACTGAAAAATATTGGTATCAGGTGGGAAAAATGGGAACTAAACTGAAAAATATTGGTATCAGGTGGGAAAAATGGGAACTAAACTGAAAAATATTGGTATCAGGTGGGAAAAATGGGAACTAAACTGAAAAATATTGGTATCAGGTGGGAAAAATGGGAACTAAACTGAAAAATATTGGTATCAGGTGGGAAAAATGGGAACTAAACTGAAAAATATTGGTATCAGGTGGGAAAAATGGGAACTAAACTGAAAAATATTGGTATCAGGTGGGAAAAATGGGAACTAAACTGAAAAATATTGGTATCAGGTGGGAAAAATGTGAACTAAACTGAAAACTGGGTTTTTTTAGAGAACTATTTTCAGTTCTCACTTTTTCATATTTACATTCTGAATATATATGTAAATAATACATGCAGCGTATACCAAAAATGCTATTTACGTTACTAATACAGATTTGATAAATCGATCATTGATGGTGTGATATAATATTTTAAAAACGGATAAAACCTAAAACAGAATAATTGAAAACCTTGTCAGCTGGAAAATATTAAGATGAGCCGGAAAAAAATATTATTTTCAATTGTTTTCTGTATCTTTTGGGTCAAAATTAATAAATGTTTTGTAAATAAATTCAAGTTAAAAAATGCATAAAAATGTTTTTTGGGACTCCCCTAAGTATTATTCCAGAAGACGAATGTGTTCTTCTAACCAAAATATTTTGCTTTTATAACGAATTCTATACAATTCAATTCACACCAATTCAAAATCCTTATTTTATTTGAACCCACAGAAATAAAATAGGAAGCAGGAAACGTTCAACGTGAAATATATTTCTTTGAACTTCTAGTTTTATTGTAATGTCGGAATTTAGATAAAAACTATCTTAGAAACACAAATAACAACGGATAGTAGTGCTTTAAGAACGTTAATTTAGCAAGAAAGATGAAAAACGGCTAGAATGAGTGGTGACTTTAATAAACTTCAATAAAATACTTATTCTTATCCAGTAACTGTTACATTTTCCAGGACTCCATTTAATAAAGTATTAAGAAAGAAAGTATATTTGAAAAAAAAGTTAGTTAAGAAAAAATACTGGAAAAAAATTCTAATTCAGTAAAAGTCTTTTGAGAAAAAGTCACATTCTTTTTTAATCTAGGACTTTTTTACGGATTCCGGAATTAAAGTCACAGGAAAAAAATCAAAAGAAGAATTAGAAAAAAAGTCCTTGGAATATAATATCCTAGGAAAAAATGTCACAAAAATATCCTAGGTGTGAAGTAGAACACGCCAGAAACATAATCAAACAGGGTCATTTTGAGCGAGCCAAAAAATGTTTTAATATATGGATTTATGACCAATTTACAACTTTCCTTATTAGTTAAACTTTAGTGGGTCGCTAAGTACAAGATGCAATATGCAATAATCAAAATAATAATTTGAACTGACCCTCCATGCAAAAATGGCACCGTGCAATTTAAAACATTTAAATTTAAAATATTTGTCTAATCAGGCAAAAATTAGATATCCATGTTTATAATTTTTAAAATGATTCTTTTCAAATGTGGTTTCTCTACTAAAGTGATTTCGCATTTCAAACACTTTTAAGCTAGAAAACCACAATATCTACCACATTTTTGAACAGAAAAACACAATATCTACCACATTATTGAACAGAAAACCACAATATCTACTACATTATTGAACAGAAAACCACAATATCTACCACATTATTGAACAGAATATCACAATATCTACCACATTATTGAACAGAAAACCACAATATCTACCAGATTATTGAACAGAAAACCACAATGTCTACCACATTATTGAACAGAAAACCACAATATCTACCACATTATTGAACAGAAAACCACAATATCTACCACATTATTGAACAGAAAACCACAATATCTACCACATTATTGAACAGAAATGGGTTCCAAGGATACCGTTGTAAATCATGCATGCCCCCTTTTTTAAATGGAGGTTCACTTGAAATTAAAACGACATTAAACCCCTTGAAACCATTATTTATCATAACACTTTTAATTCAACTTTTTAAAATCAGCATTACCACCAGTTTCAAGACGAAACCCATCTTTTCGACCAAAAAGCTGTATTAGTGAAAGTAATCTCACAAATCTACGCTCTGAGGGAGCCAATGCTTTGTTTATGTTTATTATTTACCTTCTTCATGTAGATAATCATTAGAGAGGCAATACCAGCGGAGAAGAAGAGAAGCATGGTTAGGATATAGATGAGGGGATCACCTTCTACAGCCCTCCTGTCATACACTAATCCTTTAGTCAGGTTGTACCTATACAATATACATACACCAATTCTTTAGTCAGGTTATACCTATACAATATACATACACCAATTCTTTAGTCAGGTTATACCTATCCAATATACATACACCAATCCTTTAGTCAGGTTCTATATATCCAATATACATACACCAATTCTTTAGTCAGGTTCTATATATCCATACACCAATTCTTTAGTCAGGTTCTATAAATCCAATATATATACACCAATCCTTTAGTCAGGTTATATCTATCCAATATACATACACCAATCCTTTGGTCAGGTTATATCAATCCAATATACATACACCAATCCTTTGGTCAGGTTATACCTATCCAATATACATACACCAATCCTTTAGTCAGGTTATACCTATCTAATATACATACACCAATCCTTTAGTCAGGTTATATCTATCTAATATACATACACCAATCCTTTAGTCAGTTTATACCTATCCAATATACATACACCAATCCTTTAGTCAGGTTATATCTATCTAATATACATACACCAATCCTTTAGTCAGGTTATACCTATCCAATATACATACACCAATCCTTTAGTCAGGTTCTATATATCCAATATACATACACCAATTCTTTAGTCAGGTTCTATATATCCAATATACATACACCAATCCTTTAGTCAGGTTCTATACCTATCCAATATACATACACTAATCCTTTAGTCAGGTTATACCTATCCAATATACATTCACCAATCCTTTAGTCAGGTTCTATATATCCAATATACATACACTAATCCTTTAGTCAGGTTCTATATATCCAATATTCATAGACCAATCCTTTAGTCTGGTTGTATTTATACAATATTCATATACTAATCCTTAAGTTAGGTTGCATCTATACAATATACATTTATTAATTCTTAAGTCAGGTTGTATCTATACAATATACATTTATTAATTCTTAAGTCAGATTGTATCCATACAATATACATTTATTAATTCTTAAGTCAGGTGGTACCTATGCCATAGTCATATTTGTAACTAACTAAGAATAAAAGTTAAAGAAAAAGTGAATATTATAAACGTAGTTTACCGAACTAGATCCTCACATGTCAAGCACAACGCAACAGTGCAGTTGTTGGTGGGTTGATCTAGTCTCATGTTAGTCTGCTCCGTCTTACTCAACGTGCCTTGTAAAGTTTAAATTCAATTAAAATAATTAAAGTAATATTTGATGGTTGTAGGTCTGAGACGGATGAGTAGAGAGACTGTTTATTAAACTCTGAACCTCTTCTCTCAGCTCTCCCTTGGTTTCAGTTTAGGAGAAGGATAAATAAACAGAGGAAGAGAAAGCCGTAACTCCCTGGTTTAGGAATATTTAAAATTTAGGTTCTATTATACTGAATATTGTCAATTATCTATACATACTTTACTTGTCTGTCTGTCCGTCTATTTACGTGTATCTAATAAACGTCAAAACGGATGAACCGATCGGGCCCAAATTTTGTGTGGGACCTCACAAGACCCAAGGGAAGGTTTATGGATGATCAAAATCTAAAAAATTAGCAACCATCAAAATTCTATGTTCATGAAATTTTGAAAAACTAAGAACTTTTGTTATAAAATCTGCGAACTTTTTTTGTTATTGTTTTACAATCTGTACAAAGAGAAAATGTTCACAATTGAAATAGAAGATGAGCGCGGAGCGCCCTAAAAGCCTAGTATCAATATAAAAGTTGACTATCTCATTCTTTTTTCTCTCTCCGTATTAAACTTCATGTTTTACTCCAGAAACAGAACTGAATATTAACTGGAGGTTAAAATTCGCCGTATAATTCAACAATAGAGTTTTGAATAAAATAAACCAGACGTTTTTTGATCCTTGGTCATCTATTTAAACCACCTGCAGGGTATATGTACTCCTGAGAGGTCATAGGTACCCTATTATGATCGGAGATACCTAAAGTTTTTCATCCTATAATGATCAGAGGTACCTGGAGATTCTTCTTTACCTGTTATGATTAGAGGTACCTGGAGTTTTTCCCCTGTTATGATCAGAAGTACCTAGCTGGAAATAGAACCTGTGGAACCTAGAATACATTCTCATGATAGATTAAAGGAACCTAGAGACATATACTCATGATAGATTAAAGGAACCTAGAGACATATACTCATGAGAGGTTAAAGGAACCTAGAAATAGAACCTGTGGAACCTAGAATACATTCTCGTGATAGATTAAAGGAACCTAGAGACATATACTCATGAGAGGTTAAAGGAACCTAGAGATAAATAATCATGAGAGGTTAAAGGAACCTAGAGACATATACTCATGAGAGGTTAAAGGATCCTAGAGATATGTACTCATGACAGATAAAAGGAACCTAGAGACATATACTCATGTTAGATTAAAGGAACCTAGAGACATATACTCATGAGAGGTTAAAGGAACCTAGAGACATATACTCATGAGAGGTTAAAGGAACCTAGAGATATATAATCATGAGAGGTTAAAGGAACCTAGAGACATATACTCATGAAAGGTTAAAGGATCCTAGAGATATGTACTCATGGCAGATAAAAGGAACCTAGAGACATATACTCATGAGAGGTTAAAGGAACCTAGAGACATATACTTATGAGAGGTTAAAGGAACCTAGAAATATATACTCATGATAGATTACAGGAACCTAGAGATATATTCTCATGATAGACTAAAAGAACCTGGAGATATATGCTCTTGATAGATTAACGGAACCTAGAGATATATAAATCTAATATATTTAAGGAACCTGAAGATATATACTCATTACAAGAACCTAGAGAGAGATATATTCTCATGATAGGCTTAAAGAACCTGGAGATATGTACTCATGAAAGATTAATGAAACCTGAAGATATATACTCGTGAGTCATGATAGATTAAAGGAACCTAGAGATTTAAACTCATGATAGATTAAAGGAACCTAGAGATTTAAACTTATGATAGATTAAAGAAACTGCGAGATATTTACTCCTGATTGATTAAAGGAGCCTTGAGATATACTTGAGATAAACTGAATCTAAAAACAAACTTTATAGAATCTTTATATCCATGGCTACCAAAAAAAGCATATCAGGCCAGGGTTGACCAGGTCAAAGGCCTAGCGGCACGTCAAAGTCGGCCAGATTTATGTTGATTGCTGCGTTTGGGAAACCTGAGTTCATGCAACAAACTCTTATTTTCTAATCCATCCCTATATCTTTGATATTTAAAACCATGAATTCTATTAGATCAAATAGTCAAAGCTTGGAATATAAAAGATTTATATCATCCGCATGCGCATATATATGGATTAGAAAATATTAGTTTGTAGTAAGAACTAAGCCCTTATGCCTCTAGTTGTTAAAAACTCCTTACCCCCGATTCCCCCGTTTTTAGCATAGGAATATTAAAAAACATGTAAGTACAAGTTATGAACTTTTTATGTTTTCTGTCTGAGTCCAACCCGTCATGAATATATATGGTTTAAGTTTCAAACTTAAGATTAATATATCCTGGTACACTGTACAGTGTACAGGCAGAAGATTAATATATCCTGGTGCACTGTACAGTGTACAGGTAGAAGATTAATATATCCTGGTACACTGTACAGTGTACAGGCAGATGATTAATATATCCTCGTACACTGTACAGTGTACAGGCAGAAGATTAATATATCCTGATACACTGTACACTGTACAGTTTACAGGCAGAAGATTAATATATCCTGGTGCACTGTACAGTGTACAGGCAGAAGATTAATATATCCTGGTACACTGTACAGTGTACAGGCAGAAGATTAATATATCCTGGTACACTGTACAGTTTACAGGCAGAAGATTAATATATCCTGGTACACTCTACACTGTACACTGTACAGTTTACAGGCAGAAGATTAATATATCCTGGTGCACTTTACAGTGTACAGGCAGAAGATTAATATATCCTGGTACAATGTACAGTGTACAGGCAGAAGCTTAATATATCCTGATACACTGTACAGTGTACAGGCAGAAGATAAATATATATTGATTCACTGTACTGTGTATAGGTAGAAGATTAATATATCCAGGTGCACTGTACAGTGTACAGGTAGAAGATTAATATATCCTGGTACACTGTACAGTGTACATGCAGAAGATTAATATATCCTGCTACACTGTACAGTGTACAGGCAGATTTGCACAATCTCCTTACTGCAAGCTCAAAATAATAAAGAAGTTTATTTATAGGCTTACTGATACTACTTTATAACCTTATACCTGCTCCTGTTTGGATAAAAATAAATAAAATTTATAAATAACGTCGATGCGTTTACGTTGTACTGGTGATGGCAAATTTGCATCAAATTGAAGCTTCTAGTGGGGAGGGGGGGGGGGGTTAGGCTGATATTTATACTTTATCTAAAAACCCCTATTTTCTACTCCCTATGACGATTGTTTTGTATTTGCGCAAAGAAATAATTTCATGTTGTTCTAAGTTCAATCTTTATCATTTAGAGATAAAACCTGATCTAGGCTAGTAGTTAGAATATAGGTTTAGTTGAGAGAACATGATGATTGTATTAGGCCTCCTCCTGGTCGGTTCAACCCTGGAGCTGGTTGTGTCCCAACCTACTCCTGTAGTTATCTGGCACGGGATGGGAGACTCCTGCTGTAATCCCGCCAGTATGGGATCCATCAAGGTCAAAATAACAATTTATTCTAAAAGTTAAAAAAAAAATAATACTCGCACCAAACTCTAATCTCTTAATCTTAGTTTATTTGAACCTTTAACTTTTTGAAATTTTGATTATTAGACCTAGCAGAATTCATAGTTTTCATGTTACGACTCCAGGTTGCAAAGATATAAGGATTGGAAAATTAGATTTCAAAACAGTTAATCAGTTTCTTTATTGAGATTCTTTTATGAGAAAACTCTGTTCATTCAGATAAAGTTTTAACTAATTATTAAAGGAAACAGTTGGAAATAATATGTCCCAGGATTTAAAAATATATTTCGAAGTGAGAGAAATAGTTTCCATATTTGTTCCCAAATTTGAAAAAGGAAGAAAATTATTTGCATTTCAAAATTTTTCAAAAACATTTAGAGGTAATTATTAGAGTTAGGGTTAACTATATTAGAAATAGCTTTAATATAATGCACTCGAAACACATCTATGTCTGTTATATCCCATTCTCTGAGCAAAGTTGTCTTGTTCTCTTGTTATCTATAAAAGTTTTAAACCTGAGTTTTAGAAACAAAAATGTTTAAACCCAAAAAATTCTCAGCATTGAAAATTTGTTTTTCAAATTTTATAATTTTAAGCAAGCAATCTTAAATCAAAATGAATATCTTGAACTATTAAAAAAAAAGACAAAATAGAGATAAAGACGAATAACATTGTCTATTGCTTTCAAGTGAAAAGCAAAACTTTAGTTTTCAACAAGTCAACAACAACAACCCAACGAAATCTCTGCAAAGGAAAGTCTTTCTGAAGAATTGTTTTAAATACATTCCATTGTCAAGTTTTTCATTTTCTATTGGGATATATTACTCCCATGCTATTACTTCAATACTTACTTCAATACACCCCCTTCCCTTCTCATTCCAATACATCCCCTTCCCCTCTTCATTCCAATACACCCCCTTCCCCTCTTCATTCCAATATACCCCCTTCCCTTTTCATTCCAATACATCCCCTTTCTCTCTTCATTCCAATATACCTCCTTCCGTTTTCATTCCAATACACCCCCTTCCCCTCTTCATTCCAATACATCCCCTTCCCCTCTTCATTCCAATACATCCCCTTCCCCTCTTCATTCCAATACACCCCCTTCCCCTCTTCATTCCAATACATCCCCTTCCCCTCTTCATTCCAATACACCCCCTTCCCCTCTTCATTCCAATACATCCACTTCTCCTCTTCATTCCAATACATCCCCTTTCCTTCTTCATTCCAATACATCCACTTCCCCTTTTTGTTTTAATATAGCACTTGTTCATCCATTAGACTCTATTCGACACTAGTCTCTCCTTTGCACCCTTTTCGTTCTAATTTACACTCTTTTTCTCTTTATTCCAAAACACACCCTTGTTATTACAATTACTATCCCTAATCGTTCCAATATACCCCAATACCCTCTTTGATCCACTTCTATCCCTCCAATCTCCCCTGCCCTCATGGTTTTGTCGCAATCCTATGAGCCCTAGGTTGAAAAGATTTAGTTTAGTTTGAAGAAAGTTTTCTACTTTGTATTCTCATCTATACAGTGTACTACTAGACTGTATATCGAGTAGATCTATACTAGCTTGTCTAGACCACAACATTAGACAATATTTTGATTATGTTTAATTCGGATTTGATAGCTTGTACAGCTAGTATACAGTCCTAGATTTTATATCGAGTAGATATATTCTAGCTTTGCAGACTACAAAGTTTAGACAATATTTTTATATTGTTTAATTGACTATGCGGATATCAAGTTTAGTTAAAATGTCTAAGCGTTATCCAAACCAAAATTTTTAGTCTCAGGCCAATACCAGTTGAGAACGTATAAAATGCCTTTTTTGCTGAAAAATAGGTGATTTTTTTTTAATAAACATAGGTATGTATGGTAGTTAGCAGATATTTTTCTTATAAAAGTATAAGAATTTTTTGGAAAATCTTTTTAAAAAAATAAAATATTAGCAAGAAATTCAACTTTAAAATTCTTTAAATTGCCTCTTTTTTTCTTTAAGACTTGGTTAAGCTTTTTGTCTAGGAAGTGGCGGTAGTTGGAAATTGACAAAAAATGATAAATGTTGAAATTAAGATTTTTTTTTTCAAACTACCCTCACTACCTCCGACTTTTTAAAGTCTATACATCAACATTTATTCAAGATTTTTTTTTTTTTTTTTCAAACTACCCTCACTACCTTCGCCTTGTTGAAACTTTTTTATCAAAATTTATTCAAGCAGTTTTTTTTCAATTCCCCACTACCCTCACTACCTCCGACTTTTTAAAATCTTTAAATCAACATTCATTCAAGAATTTGTTTTTTATTTAAAACTACCCTCACTACCACCGACTTGTTGAAACCTTTTTAAAAAAATTTATTCAAGAATTTTTTTTCACTTCCCCACTACCCTCACTACCTTCGACTTTTTAAAATCTATATATCAACATTTATTTAAGAATTTGTTTTTTATTTCAAACTACCCTCACTACCACCGACTTGTTGAAACTTTTTTATCAACATTTTTTCAAGAATTTTTTTTTCAATTCCCCACTACTCTGAGTTCTACCATTTATATACAAATCAATACATATCTTTATTTTTAAAATTTAAATTATTACTACTTTAACTACCTTCTATTTATCTGACATAAAGCTAATGTGAAAAATAAGGCATTTTATACAGACAGATATCAGTTTGCATGATCTAACCAAGTGCCAATATCAGTTTGCACATGATCTAACCAAGTGCCAATATCAGTTTGCATGATCTAACCAAGCGCCAATATCAGTTTGCACATGATCTAACCAAGTGCCAATATCAGTTTGTATGATCTAACCAAGTGCCAATATCAGTTTGCATGATCTAACCAAGTGCCAATATCAGTTTGCATGATCTAACCAAGTGCTAATATCAGTTTGCATGATCTAACCAAGTGCCAATATCAGTTTGCATGATCTAACCAAGTGCCAATATCAGTTTGCATGATCTAACCAAGTGCTAAGGCCTAGTAACGCTGGTTTAGTTCTTGTGGTTTGGTGACAAAAAACGTTAAATATTAATTCTCAACCAATTTTCTATATGTATGACTATAAAAATTACTGAAATTTGAAATTAAATATTTTAATTTAATAAATATTTTGTTTAGGAAATGATAGAGACAGAACTGGCTGGAGTATATGTTCACAGTATAATGATCGGGAACAATATTATCGCGGACATGGAGAACGGATTCTTCAAGGATACAAACAAACAGATAGATATGGCTTGTGAAATGATAGCTATGGATCCTGAGTTACAGGACGGATACAATGCACTTGGGTTTTCTCAGGGAGGACAATTCTTACGCGCAATTGCGCAGAGATGTCCTAACCCGCCGATGAAGAACCTAGTGACGGTTGGATCTCAGCATCAAGGCGTATTCGGGTTCCCAAACTGTCCTGGAGAACTTGTATTCTTCTGTGATATTGTCCGGGATCTTCTCAACTACGGAGTTTACACTGACCTGGTTCAAAGTATTCTGGTTCAAGCACAGTACTGGCATGATCCTCTACACTTTGATACCTACGTTGAGAAGAGTAGGTTCATTGCAGAGATAAATAATGAGAAACCTGAGAAGAATGCAACCTACGCCGAGAATCTCGCTAAACTGGAGAACTTTGTTATGATCATGCACTACCAAGATACAATGGTTGAACCAAAGGAGTCAGAGCATTTTGAGTTCTATGCGCCCGGGCAGGCGGAGGTCATCCTCCCTCTTCAGGAGTCTCCGATATACCTGGAGGATAGGATCGGACTCAGAGCTCTGGATGAGTCAGGTCGTCTTCATTTTCTCGCTGTAGAAGGAGACCACCTCCAGTTCAGCAGACAGTGGTTTATTGATGAAATTATCAAGGTTTATTTCTCATAAACCTTCTCCAGGTTGATGGCAAAACTCTCCGGAAAGAAGAAATGCATTAAAAAGAATAAAGAATGACCGTGATTATAATAATGCTTTAAATGTGTAATTCACAATTGGAATAAAAAACCAAAAAATTCATAGTTAGTATAGTATAGTTTAGTAGTGTAGTGTAGTGTAGTGTAGTGTAGTGTAGTGTAGTGTAGTGTAGTGTAGTGTAGTGTAGTGTAGTGTAGTGTAGTGTAGTGTAGTCTAGTGTAGTGTAGTGTAGTGTAGTGTAGTGTAGTGTAGTGTAGTGTAGTGTAGTGTAGTGTAGTGTAGTGTAGTGTAGTGTAGTGTAGTTTCTACCAAGTTTACATGAATTAATAAATATTTAAACCGGAGAAAAAATGTCCGCAGTCTTGGCAATTTCTCATGTTCCGTCGGTCCTAGTTTATTCAGCAATATTTACTTCAAGTTCTTTTCAGTGTACAGTATATACCTTCTACCAGATATATCATTATTCTTAAAGGAACAGTTTATTATCATTTTGAAACATCATAAAGATGGGTAACATATGCATTGTTCAGACGGTTGTTTTCGTGTTACCCCTAGGTTGGGAAATGTCCCTAGCGGAACTCAAACTAAGAGCATAAAAAACTTTTAAAAGATTTTTCTCTAATTATCTTCGTTTTTAGTAGGTAGCATATTTTAACCTGTTCAATGCATTATTTTCGATTATTTTTCCAAACAATTTAAAATTCGGAGATGGTGATGGACCAAACCTCTGTAGAGTAAAAAAAGTAGATGAATTAGTTCAGCATTTATTTAAAATATATTTTGGTCTGGGTTGACCCTCGTCAGTTTTTGAGATTGTTTCTGTCACAAAGATTAAAAATCACTCCGGTTTGTCCTCAATATGTATTATCATTTTGTTTACAATTTTTGCAATAAGATATTTATAAACCAAGTTGTAAAAATGTTGATGTTTAAAACTTGCAAATATGCTGACAGGATGATTTCCTTTAAATTGAAATGGAAAATGATTTAGAATTGATCGAAAATACAATTTCAAAATGTCAGAAAGAGATTTGTACGTTTGTGCTTCACAGCGAAACAGTTTAAAATTCCCATCGTACAAAATTACCTATATATAAAATATATAAAATTGTTTTACGATTTTTGACATCTATTTGGAAAAAAACCATTTGTGCCTGGTTCAAAAATCATTTAATGACGATAATTTTAGTGTTTCTTGGTGAAGGTCTACTAAAACGCGGGAGGGAACCCCCAGACGCCATGAGCCTTTGCTATGCAGACACGAGCCTTCCAGATTTGCTAGGCAGACCGAGCCTCCCAGATTTGCTAGGCAGACCGAGCCTCCATCATGCAGTAAGAGCCTCCTCTAAACAGTAAACGAGCCTCCACTGCTGTAAACAAGACTCCGCTGTACAGAATGGGTTTCTTAAAACTCTCGGGTTTTACATGTAGTATAAAGAATTTTTGTTTTTTTTTCGAAATAGTTGCATAAAAAGTTTATCAAAGATCAGAAGTGTTCAACAATTATTATAAATAGTGACTAATTATGACTTGTAAAGTGGTTTATAAAACTTTAAACATTTTTTAAGCAAAAAGGAAATCATTTAGAGAAAAAATTCTGAAAGTAATTTTATTTGATATTTTATAATCTTTATTTTATACCTTTCATGAATTTTTTTAGTTTAAGATAATCAAAATTTTACATTGACAAATAATCTGAATCTAAAAAATTGAAAGAAGTTCAATTCAGAAATGAATTTCCAAATAGCCTCCTTACTGCGTAAAAATGTTTTATTGAAAAACATAAATTATTGTGAACGACTTCATGAGTCAATATAAGTTACAAATCATGACAATCGATAAACAACATTAATCTTAATTAAAGTTCTTGAGAGGCTCGTATCTGCATGGCGGAGGCTCATGGCATCGGGGGGTTCCCTACCTCCCCAGACTACACTACCCAGATTTAAAATTAAACTCTATTTTACAGAACGAAATTAGCTTATTTCAGAAACAAGATTTCCAAGTGATTTTTTTTTAATACGAATCTTACTTGATTCACAACGCTATATACCCTTTAAGCCTTTGTCTGGAAAAAAATGAACACTACCGGATTAATGCAGCAGAGACGAAGAACGATATTGTTAGAATATCACTGCTTCAGATTGAATAACGACGATGTCTTCTGATAATTGCTCAAATGACGGTTTCAACGGGTACGGTTGTGAATCGGGTGTGCATTGTGAAATTTCTCAAAGGGTGGATCACTTGAAATCATGTCCTGGGGACAAAAAATCTCTTTAAGAAGAATTAAATAGTTAATTAAAGAAAATAGATTAAGAAAAATATTGGTAAAATATTAACTTAAGCATTGATTTTTTTTAAGTTTTCTGCTGGAACAGTAAAATTGCATTATTGTGATTTATTTTCCTCACAGCGATAAAAAAATATTCTTTGCATTATGTTAAATCCTTATGACTGATTTGTAATACATATCAAATAATTCATCTGTATATATAAACATATATGAACATATATAAACTAAATATACAAAATCACAGAGTGTGGATCTATTCTTCTATAGCGGAGTCTCCAGGCTAGGATCTGTAGTTTGGAGGTAGAGGTCGACCCGCTAGACTTGACGGTCGATCTGCAAGGCTCGGCGGCCGAGCTGCAATGGTGGGCGGTCGGCTGGGAAAGTTCCCCACAGGGCGCCTAGGGCCAAAAATAAAAAATAAGTAACTTATAATTTTGAATACAATGACTATATAAATAGAATATTTAAGAGAGAACAAAAAAAATCCTCGAATAATTAGAATTAAAATGTACTTGGGCAATTTTATTGCGGCTCTGGGTGGTTTACGGCTTTAACTGTTTCCTTTATTTTGAAATGTAGGTGAGGGGGCGGGATAATACCATGGGGTAGGATAGGGATATAAAATGATACCATGGGGTAGGGTAGGGATGTAAAATAATACGAAGGGGGTAGGCTAGGGATATGAAATAATACCATGGGGTAGGATAGGGATATATATGTATATAGAATAACATAGTAATTTTAATTAAACTTGTCTTAGACAGGTTGGCAGCTTATCCACAGCGGTGCTGAGACAGCTGCTAAACAAGCAGACAGGTAGATATGTAGACAGGTAGATAGTTAGATATGTAGATAGATTGAAAAGTAGACAGGTAGACAAGTAGATATGTAGAAAGGTTTTTAGATTGAGAGGTTAACAGGTTGGCAGGAGACAGGTGAATAGGTAGATAGGTAGATAGGTTGATAGGTTGATAGGTATATAGATTGGTAGGTTGACAGGTAGATAGATATATAGATTGATAGATATATAGATTAATAGGTTACAGGTAGACAGGTATGTATATTGATAGGTGACATGTAGACAGGTAGATAGGTATATAGATTGATAGGTTGACAGGTAGACAGGTAGATAGGTATACAGATTGATAGCTTGACAGGTAGACAAGCATGTACATAGGTAGGCAGGTATATTTATTTATTTCGAGGGGGCGGGATAGTCTAATAAAGTCTTATCCCCTGCTGTAACCAAGAATTAATTGGAAAAGTGCAAAAAATGAAACTGGAGGTCAGATTTAATGAATAGAAAGAAGTATTAGAACTACTCAGACGTGGTTGAACCAGTAGTTTTGTGCTCCAGGTTCAAGTTTAAGAGCATTGGTTCAACTACTTCAAGGTAGGTTTACTACAACTCAATATTCATATAAATCTGGTCCTTGGTTAATAAACAAAACAAAGATTACTAGGATAGGATAGATTAAAAAGAAGAAAATAAAAACAACAAAAATAAACACTAATTCTCAAAGAAAATAATTAAGACTTTTGATTTTTCAAATTCTTTAAATCCCTATATCTTTGAAACCTAATGGTTGATATTTCAATCTTTTATTTGATCTAACAGGATTCATAGTTTGAAATATGTAAAATCTACGACAATGGTTTGCAAACATATGGTAATTGGAAAATCAGTGTGTGTGACAATTAAACTCAAATCTTAAATTAAAAACAATGGTTCAATTAGGGATCAAAACTTAAAAATTGTAAAATTTTCTTTTTATAAAACTATTTTCAATTGAAATAAATTTCACGTCAGATAAAAATCCTACATATTCACACTAAATTAAGCTATGTTGTTTAGGTGAATAGGCCATGATAACCCAGGTACTGTAAACCTCTGGCCACGCCATAAATTGAAACCGAGCTGGCGTGGATTAGGGTCGGGCCAATACATGCCGCACGTCACTAAGGCCGGTACAAGGGGTCGGTACGGTTCGAATTCAAATTGACCCTAGTCCACCGTGATTTTCAATCATATCTCCTTTTATTGAAGAGCAATTGGGAAGAAGAAAATGTTTCTTTTGTGTAACCATTTTCAATTTGCTTCCCACATACTTGAAACCTAAACTAGATAAGCTACAAGGTCACAAAGTTGTACTTCAATATTGTATTGTAATGTAGCATAAATTTTACCTTTTCCTTCTGTTTAGCCGTGTGTGACTAAAAACATTATTTCAAAACAAATTTTTGTGGTAATAACAGTAAACGTGGCATGTCTGTCATGAAATGCACAATTTCCAAATTAAACTAAGAAAAATTAAGTTTGAAATATCCTAGGGTGTTAAACCGCACTCTTGTATGCCGAGTCTATTAGCGCCTGATCCAATCAGGGTTCAGTCATGTGTTTGGTGTCTATTCTGAACCAATAGAGTTATGAATCCTTGAATCGGCGCTATCAGTAAATGGAAATATTTACTTCTACTGAAACTATGGTATAACCGAGGTAAAAAATGTTACTCGTTTGTCAAAATTGTTTAGTACGTAACTCAGAGGTATCCAAAGGTTGCAAGCTTTAATGCAAAAATCTATGAGAATTTTGCCAAATACTCCTTTAAAACTAAAATCAAGTGCTTTAAGTTTCTCAAAAAGTACACTATACAAAATAGAATAAATGAGTTAGGGTGGTAAAGTCAAACTAAGACGCCGTGACACCCAGTTGCATGCCGGATTTAAAAAATATCCTTTAACTCTTTATCTATGAAATAATGAGGAGGATATTGTCGTTTTTCTTGTTATAATTAAAGGAGATTAA